ATGTTTTTGCATTTTGCTTGTTTTCTGTGATGTTCTTTGTATGCATACATCATAAATGCATAATGTTTGATAAATTCGGCTCTCCATATGTACCAAAAACAGTTTGAACTCTGTGTAAAGATGACATTTATACACGCTGCATGCATAAAATGTTAATCAAAAGTTTCATAAGCCCGCCTGTACACAATTGTATACTGGAAAAATACTGGAATCTAAAAAATCTGTCTGCTTCAAATCGAAAGCTTCAGCAGCAACGGGTGATGATTATAAGGACTACTTTCCCATCAGCTGTCATTGCATGCACACTGTGAAATGGCCAGTCTAGACTTGACGTCATGTAACTGTTCAGACGTATACACACACACACACACATTTGCACACTCCTACACACACTTAATAGATTCCTCCCTGTGTCCCCGGAGGTGCCCTTCCCACCTAATCCCCATACCTGGCCTCAGCTGGGTAGCAAATGACTTCAAGAATGAAAGATCGCAAGATGCAAAATTATCAATTTCAACCAACTGGAAATATCGTATTATACTTTATTCCGATAAGTATAAAAAGCTCTCGTATAACCATATTACTGCTTGCTGAATAAAAAAAAGAATGTCCATTTCTGCACGCTGACAAGCTTAGAATATAAATGCAGAATTATTAAGTGGTATTTATTTAATGTCTGATTACATTTAATTAATTAAGTAAAGTTGAAATGCAGGTGTCTTGCTGCTTGGACAGAATCGTAAGTAGCTATGACTGAGCACATGATCATTTCCCATCTTCTTTAACAACACACATATCAACATTTCTCCACTAATGTCTACCATATTTCTAAACCAAGGTTGACATACTCTGAGTGCACCAATAATACGCAATTGTTGTTTTGTTGGAGCTCTGAGCTGACGGCTGTGACAGAGGACAGACTCTATAGTGAGGGACCACACAGTTTGTCTTTAAGCGTGCACAGGTGTATGATTTATAAAAATAGTCTGACGTTCAGCTGTGGAAACCGGTTTATTTAGACTAAATATTTTCAGCATAAGCTTAGGCTGAACCTTGGGTTTAATTGACTTTCCCTTTCACCCAGCGACATTCCAGTTAGTGACACCTGCATGTTTAAAAAGAAATGCACATATGTGAAAACCCAGTTAGAAAATCAATTTCCTAAAGAACAAATGTAACCATTTATACAAATCTCCTAATCCTTTACTCAATGTATGTGAACTGTTTCCCCCTTAAGAAGAGGTGGAGGAGGACAACTAAAACAGAAACCAGAGGTGAAGATCAGAAAGAGAATAAATGAAAACAAGCGAGCAGGGACCTCAATTACAAATGCAAGAGTGACACAGATGTATAGGATGGTCTAAATCATGAGCGGAGCCATACATCACATAAGCTGCTTTGTGGCTCTGGTTTAAAGGACAGATTGCGCTTATGACAATCTGGCCCAGTGAACTTGAGGCAGGGAGAGTTCAAAATGCATTACCAGGCTTAGCATCTATAAAAGTCACAGTCAACTACTCTTACATGGGTTCAAAACCTGCACATTGTAATAACAGGGAGGAGAGCTGGCTGAAAATGCCTTGCTGGGGTCACTATCTGCTCTCTAAGATCTCTCTGCGTGCCTTAACACTTTCTTTTCCCATGAGCCCTCTTCCTGAAGACTCAAACCACTTTTGCTTAATATAGGTTGAGCAATAATCAGGCTCCCCCTGCTAAGCAAACAGCAAGGACAAAATAAGTGCATCTAGAATATGTGAATACTTTGTTTTTTGTGTGCAACAATTGAATGTCTTTCAACTGCTGTACTTGCTCTACCAGAAGGAGCAAATGCTGGCAAATAGTTCATTTATAAGCATTGTTGCCTTAAATAGCCCCTCCAACCTCAGGCACTTAAAGGGCCCATGTCATGCTTTTCCGGTTAGTACCTGTCCCCTTGTGTGTTCTGAAGGTTTTTATGCATGTAAATGGTGTGCAGAGTCAAAACCCTCAAAGTACACCCTGTATGGAGTAAAACTCTAAAATATAAAATACCTCCCCAAAACGCCTCGTTGGAGATACGTCACTGTCCATTTGATTCTTCCGGGTACATCATGATGTCATGTCGTCCCCGGAACGAAATGGACCAATCCGTGGAGCCGTTACGTTACGTCCGCGGAGCCGTTACGTTAAGCCCCCGCTGATTGGTCCAAATTGACCAATCCACAGACTTCCTCACACACTCAGTGCATGCAGCTCTGCTGATTTCTCCTCCCTGGCTGCAGGCTGATAACAGACAGTTGGGATCGCGGCGAAATTCTCTCTGCAGACCCATTCTCTCTGCGGACCCATTCTCTCAGCGTTTATCAACCCTTTTCTTACTCAATATCAAGCCACACTTATTGTTTTTACTTCGGCTGTGACTTTGTGTGTGCTCAGGGTGAGTTTGGCTGTGTTTCGCTGTGTATCGCTAAACAAGGAAATCACACCTCCACGGAGCTCAGCGCGATTCACAACGGCCCGACTGGTCCCGACCAATCGGAGCACACTGGGCTCACAGGGAGGGGGGGGGGGCAAGAGCTGCAGCGAGCCGTTTAGTGGAGAGAGTGAATACTGCTGAATACAGATACTTTACAGAGATGCTGAATGCGAAACCAATGTGAGTTTGGTAAATTGCACAGTATAAATCTATTCTAGTATACCTCAACAATGGAATTATGATCAGTGGAAATGGCCATGACATGGGACCTTTAAAGTCACCTGCATAAGTAAGACTTGCTTTACATTTCTAACTGTAAAGGAAGAATACCTCATTGACATTGAATGGGCTTTCCGGCGGGAGAGGAAGGAAGTACATGGGAAGTGCTTCGCTTCTCAACAAGCGCTTTTTCACTTGTTAGGGCAGAGTGAAGAGAACAAGCCACAAAGGTATTGTGGCAGCGGGGTGTGGTTAGGGCGCCGGCTGCTGGAGTGAGGGGAGTGGCTCGGCCGGAGTCCAGGCAGCTGATCAGAATCAGGTAATCAGTCACTGAATAAAAGCATGTGGTAACCTGGTTCTGGTCTGTCTTGCAGTAGGCTGGATCCTGGAAGGATGCAAAAGGACCCGTGAAGGAGCCCGCACGGGCGACGTGTTTTGTGTTTGTTAAACAATAAACCCCCGTGTTACACCCAAACCCTGCTCCTTCCGTCCCTCTTTGAACCCTGTGTGAGCGGAGAGGCTCACAGGTATGCATATAGGTTTTTTGGGGTCAGGAGTACTGATTTCTGTGCGTCACATCTTGTGTCATCATTGATGCTGTGAAAAACAACATATAACTATACTGGGCATGGTTGTTTGTTTTAAAGCCGAAAGGAAAGAAGAGAAATATTGTATACTGACAGAAATGGGAAGAGCTTAGAAAGTTACAAAGTGACCCCGGAAAGGGGCTGGTGTAATCATAACACGATCTAAAAGGCTCATTATGAGAACTGACTGGTGGAACATTTTGCAAGAGCACAAACTCTCCTGACTCTCATTTACATCAGTTGCATTTGGAACAGGAAGAGCCCTCCTTTATTCAGGTCACAACAAGGTTGCATGTCAACATTTCATAGAAAACCTAAATCTGATACTGGGCTCAAAATATAAGTAGTCAGTCAAAACATCAAGTTCTTGTTTTTACCATCCACAACGAATGGCCCCATCAATCACACTAAAATTCTCCCACTGTGTGTATTTACAAGAAAAGGAGCAGGGGAGCAAGATTCCAAGGAGGGGGCAAAGAGAAAAAGAGAACAGATTTCATCCTTTTCTGTGGTGGCAGCCTATACCAACTTATCTAAATCAAATGTGTCACCCGTGGAACCAGTGTTTTTCCAACCACAATAACCTCCCAGCAGACTGGCTTTGAACCAATCCAGAAAAACTCCTTTTGAAAACCCTCTAATGCGCTCTGTCCAAATTTGGTAGCACCCTCGTTGGTGGTCCCCCGGTGCCTCGCAGTGTGTGTGTGTGTGTGTGTGTGTGTGTGTGTGTGTGTGTGTGTGTGTGTGTGTGTGTGTTTCATCTTTTCAGGAGTTTAGGATGGGTGAGCCTTCAAAACACTCACTGCACCTGTCATGTGCCTATAGTGCACAAAAAAACAACATAAATTATTTCAACTCTCAACAAAACAAAACATTTTCTTGTTGTTTGTAGGAGAACGGACAGCCCTGATTTATCCCTGTTCGAGTACTCCCTTTAAGGACTGGAAGCCTCCCATTGCATTTGTTCTGTTTATGTGTCTCCACCTCAAGTTCCCTCATCTGTGCTTATTAAACCGTTTCTCGAGTGCTCTGCATTTCCAGGAATAAGAGGCAGCAGATTGTACAGCCACTTCCAAAAACACTTACTGGTCTGACGTCTGTACAAAAAGGTGTGATGCTACCGGGTTTAAAACAATCATGCTTCTGCCTCCTTGGTGTACACAGTTTTCAGTGTAAATAGTTCAAATCGAGAGATAGGATTGGATGTCAGAAAAAGTGTTATTATTTTTGAGCAAAACAGTTTCCTAACTGGTAGAAGATCAAAACACCCACCCACACAATGAGAGAAATAACTAATTAAATGAATCGTATCGAACACTAAAATAATGAGTGAACTCATGGGGTTGGCTATTTCGAAGGCATTTAAAAGTGTAATGAGTGAAAATGAAACACGACGGAAACCAGGTAAATGATTACTCTTAATATGGATTCCATTTCATTATTTAAAATTAATGAAGATTTTTTAAATATCCTAATATTTGAGGCTGCCGAGAAACGGCAACTATTGTCTACTTTTAAATCAAAAGTTCAATCAGATCTAAAAAGGTGTATTGGTTTATGTTTTGGTTTTTTTAATGCAGTTTTTTGTAATTGTCTTGTCTGTTGGGTGTGCAACCAATGTCGGAAATGTCATGCTAGGTAACTATATTCGGCCTAACACAGATTTACTCACAGACTCATGCTGTGACAGAAGTGAAAACATTTACAATTACATTTTGAAAGGCTAAAGCATGTCTTACCTCCGAGTTCTTTTACATTCAAGATGGCATTTGGAAATGGCACTGCCTTTATGCTGAAACCTGAGGGAGGAAAATAAAATCCATCATTGTAACGACATAACAGGGTATATGCAGGAGTCCTGAAGTCAAATGTAAGACTTTTTAAGACCTTTTTTAAGACCCTTTCCATACATTTTAAGATCTCATCGCCACTTTGAGTTTTAACCGGTTACATTGGCAACTCACTTTACCTCACATTTACTACATACAGTATTGATTGTCCTTCCTCCTTATCTTCCAACCATTGCGACGCAAACTTGCATTTCCCCATAACAAAGTTGTTTAACAACCGGCGTAAACGGACCTTCGCGCGCTAATAGGCAGTGAGCGTGCCATGTCCTGTTCAGATGACGTCAAATCCAACGTGATGCCATAAATAAACTACACAGAATCACACTACACACCTACGCAATGATTACATTCAGGCAGACTGTAGAATACAACCTCTTTGGACAATTTATATACTTATTGAAAACAAAATACAAAATGTAATACCTTGGAAAATGCCATTTAATACTTTTTAATAGTCTTAATTTTCGCTAAATTGATTTATCCAATTGTAATACTTTTTAAGACCCCGCGGACACCCCGCATAAATAACTTATGTGATATGTATGTGTGTATAAGTGTGTGTGCCAATTAACCTTTAGGAATGCTGGTTGGATTGCATTTAAATACTAGTGAGAAAAATAAAATTGAACTTATTTAAAACAGAAAACATATGAATCGTTCAGTTTCCCCAGGATATTTGGTGTACCTTTCCAAACCGCCAGCTGGTGAACACACAGAGTATGACAACATATTTGTGTTGCAAAAACGAAAGAGAATAACACTTTGTGTGGTCCGGGTTAGAAAACGGAAAAAACAAAAAAAGCCAAACAGTGCTTTGTTCAACGTTGGAGTTAGAGGAAGATAGAGCTTATGTGTAAAGCGCTACTATGGTTTTGTGGTTGCATAGGGTGGGAAATAGTAAAGACACCCAATGAAGGAAGAGATTTAATGTTGCTCAATATATGCTAAACTGTCTTGGTGGGAATTCCTTTCCTGGAAACGTTCACAAACAGGAGGAGAGATGGGAAAGACATGTCATTAGGATTTTTCAAACATCTGAATTAACTGCTAAATATGGTTTTTAAGCACATTACGACAGTGCAAAACCATGAAGTAAGTAGTGGGGGGAACCGCAGGAGACTTCCCCCTCATTGTTCATCATGATGGTCCCTCTGTAGATGTTGGCAGACAGTGCTGACAGCTAAATCTCGTTTCAGAGAAGAGAGCTAAAATAATTCTATTCTTAAGTAAGTAATGGACATATTTCATTTATGAAGGCGTATTGAGCAGCAGACAGGTGTTCACTCCCTGGAACAACCCCCCGGCCACAGAGACACACACACACTAAGGGTTACAGGTAACACACTAGGGATTCACTTTATATTTAGCTGTTTCCTAGTCAAAGTGCAAAAGGACTAAATCTAAAACGGGACTTCTGCTCAGGCTCTAACCTGACTGCTGTCAAAGCCAGGGGAGGAGAAAGGAATGTCAGAGTCCTTGAGGGATTGCCTTGCGTTTATGGAAAGCAGAGTATTGACTACCAAGAAAATGATGTGCTAACCCTGAAGCCTGCTCATCTGGACATACCCAACAGCAGCCTCTTGACTGCAAGAGAGAAGCAGAGTATTGGCCGGTGAGATACAGCAGAGCATTTCTGGCATGAGCACTGGGACTTTGGAAGACTTGATGAAGACTTGCTTCCCCCTATTGGAGAGCTGTAATACCTTGATAGAATTATCTATCTATGATTATAATCCAGGGGACAGCATGTTCTTCAAACATGAAAGCAGTTCAGAAGCATGAAAAGCTTTCAAGAACACATCTGAGGGGAGTGCTTGCTTCTATTTAAGTACACACATTATACTATGAAAAAAGGCCCTCTTTCTTCCTGATCCGTGTTGTGTACAGACCTGTTGTGGGGACGATGCCGTCGCTGCCCTCACTACAGAGGCGTGAGAGCAGGCTGGTCTTTCCAGCACCTGTCAGGCCGATGCACACCACATCGTACTCTGGTCTTGGCGGCGGGGGTCCTTTACAGCACAGTGCCCGGAAACACTAAAACAAGACAAACAAAACAATGAATTCTTTAGAAAACAAAAACAAATGCATGTGGTGCCAATGGAGTGATTAGGTTCTGCACATGGAATCACAAAAAGTGAAACCCAAAAAGTGAATGTTTGTCGAAAAAACTCTTGGGTCTTTGCAAGAACACTCATGTGCGGTACAGCTTCACACACTGAAGCACAAAACAACAAATACTGTCACAATACAGCTCTGGTCTTTGAAACATGTTAAGATCTTTAGATGAAGCAAAATGTAACAATATTTCAGAAAGACAAAAAAACGTTGTATTTTTGTATTTAAAAAGGGACTGAGTACCAACTAATAATACAACCCCACATGGTGGTACTTTTATGATGTAATGTAATTATGTCAAAAGTGATAAAAGTCTACATGAGAAAATGTGTGAAAGGTAATGGGAGAGTTTCGATGCATGCATTTAAGCACTGGTGCAACATGTTTTTGTGTGCATGGTGGACCCCGCCTGACTGGACCCTTGTGGCAGCCAGAGGCAGACCTGTTACTCCATGAATCACAGCCTGGGACTGAGGCCTGCTGTGAGACATTAGGGGGCAAATGCAGTGTGAACCGTGAATGAGATCTTTAAACTCGTGTGGAGAGATCAGTATCCGAAACTAAAAAGAGATCTCTTTTATTAGCAGGACAGGAACTAGTCTGGACAAGGCCACACACACACACACACACACACACACACACACACACACACACACACACCACACACACACACACACACACACACACACACACACACACAACACACACACACACACACACACACACACACACACACACACACACACACACACACACACACACACACACACACACACACACACACACACACACACACACACACACACACACACACACACCACACACACACACACACACACACACACACCACACACACCACACACACACACACACACACACACACACACACACACCCCTTACTGCTCTTGTCAGGGGACGACCCTGTTCAACCCACTGTTACTCTGTTCAATTAAAGAGTCTGGCAGGAAGGAAAACACATTAGCAAGTGTACACCAACTGCTACATCTGTGTGCACATTCTCCAGGTGTGCTTGTGCATGCCATTACAACTTGGGGAGAAGCAGATATAAACAGATGAGAGGATAAACAAATATTCAGTGTCAATGTTCACGTATCTTTGGAAAATGTTCAAGATTTGTGTTTACTACAATAACTCCTGGAAATCTGGTTTTGGTGTTAACTGCAGCCCACTTGTAGCATTTAGATTAATAGATTGAAATAGAAAATACTTTTTTCCTCTGCCTAGCAGTGGTTGCTATGAGATGCCATTGCTTCTCTTTAATGGAGGGAAACCAGCAAAGGGTTGCCGCCTCGATATTTCCGCACACTCCCAGACATCAGTGACCACCAGGGTCAGTTTTCAGAGCCGTGCCAAAACAGAGCTGCTGTTTGATGGAGATGTGGGGAATCTGCTTCAACAGAACCAGACGTTGGCTGAGCAACCCGACCCCCCCGACTTCTAGGTGAACCCCGCCAGTCTGCTCAAACAGGAAACATTCTCCTCTTCCAGAAAAACGGCAAGATCAGAAACATACGCGCGTCAGATGGAGGAACACGTGTAAAAACGTGGTTTGATGAGGTCATTCTATCCTCATTTTGGCTCTTTTCTCCTTGTCGCCTCTACCCCCCACCAACCATCCCTAAAGCTACATGTAAAGATTTCTGCAGAGGGGGAAGTCTGTCCTTCAGCTGTCAATCGCACAGACAGTTGATCCTTAAGAGGAAGCAAGGGGATGAGATGAAGACATGGAAGATCTGTAATAGATTTGAGATAGATTATTGTCTGTCCCTTAACATTTCATTATATTTAGACCGAGTGTTAACGAAATAAAAGTCAACGAAGAAGGTTAAGGCCTCATTAGCTGGGTGAGAGCATACAAACTAGACATCTCCCAGCACCTCTCCCTTCACGTACAGTGTGGAACAGCTACCTAAAGAGAATCCAGGGTCTGACCCCGGGGTCCCTGTGTACACAGTGTCCCTGTGAGAGAGGAGAGAAGGGAGCTCCCATCTCTGGCCCTCCTTGACAGCACAAGATTGACGAGGAGAGCTTGGTCAAAAGGCTCACAGGAGAAAAATAAATATGTCCAAAGGCCTTTGCCTACCTCGAGACGTGCCCCTCCCCTTACAACCACATACTGGAGGATCAGAGAGTCAGTGTGCTGTGTCACTGAGAGCTCAGAGGAATCCATCCTGATGACTAGAACTCCATGAATCTTTAAGGCATCCAGACAAACAGCTGGGATTAAAACTGGAAATTGAATTCAACATACACAGTCAACAGTTCCTTAAATGTTGTTTGACAGATTTACAGTATGTTCAGACAAGCTGGAAGCGAGTGAGATATATTACTCTCACACATACTGTTGCATAGAGCAACATGGAGGCTTATCAGCTGCAGCCACGTTTATTAAGGCATCTTTTAAATGACTATGAGGCCTCCTTTGCTTTTAAAGAGAGGGCAATCTTTAAGAAAAACAAATAAAACCTTACAGCTCCTTGCCAAACACTCTCCATAAAAAAAGTCTGCCAGACTTTATTGATCGGCTGCCTCTTATAGGATTGGAGATGTTTTAATTGTGCTTCCCTGCCGAGACATTACCTCACTGTTTTTGCAAAAGCTGATTAGCTAGGCTTTATGTAAATGAAAACACTGCCGAATATAAATATCACTGAAGACATAGCCAGGCTGCATTTCTTCAGCTGAATGTCCCCTTAAAAGATGCATGACAGAAAGAAGGAAAAAAAGCCCCCCATGTCTCCAGTTTGAAAAAGACATCAAGACATTTAATGGGTGACATAACTTGGCCTCCTGGCAGCGGACCAGAGTTTAAGCAGAAGAGCAGAAGCCGCTGGCCTAACAGAAGTCTTTAGACGCTTGCATAAATGATGCTGGGGTGAAAAAGAAACAACTGGTAGGAAAGGTACATGAATACTGCAGTAGCTTTTTCTCCTGTGGTTTCATTTAAAGGAAGCTCAAAGTCATACGACATGCTGCTAGCAACACCACCATGCAACATGACCTCAAGTGACCAAATGTTGATTTGCATACGTCTAGGACATGATATGGATATGTGATAGGGCTGAACGATTAATCGATTTTAAATCGAAATCGCGATTTTAAATGATGCGATTATCAAAAAGCAAAGCCTACGATTTTTTAAAACTTTTTTTTGTTGTTGTCCTTGTGTGTCAGTCATTCACACCAATCAGATGTGCTGTGCTCCACATGTACCAGCCATTGTTAACCAATCAGAAGTGGCCCATGATAGAAGGTGATAGACAGATTGATCCAATCACCTGCCAAGTATTTTTGAAAGTGCCTGCCCTTTCTAAATGGCTTCCAATGGAGCTTTCCTAGATGGTTTGGTGAAAAAAAACCATCTGAGTCAGGTTAGTAATGCTCCATCACATGTTTTACATCTATTACAGGGTGAGTCTTAAACTGAAGCTTGACTTTAAAGTGGACCTATCATGCTATATTTGAAAAATATATTGTAGGGCCATACCTATATAAAACATTTCTGTGAAGTTTTTTTTCAAAATAACAGATCACCCATTGTAGCCATACCTCATACTGCTCAAACCCCTCTTTTGAAGCCCTGTTAGAGAAACGCAGATTTTGGGTCCTTAGCTTGAAAAAAAAAAAAGAGGAGGAGGAGGCGGAGCTAATCCCTGATCAGAATTCTACCGGAGATATATTTCCTGCTTTTTAAAACACATGTGCTCTTCAATACAGGTTAGCTCTGAGTGTTAGCGAGGCTTGCTAATGTAAACAAAAACGAGATTACGTCCAAACAACGTCAGGCATTGTTTCCGATAGCAATTTTCTGTGGGTCCGCTGCCGATTTCACGTCAGATCGGATGGACATGTCACAGCGGATGGAAATCTGGATCAGCTTCGTTGTAGCCCTGTTTTTAGAGATTTGGGTACGGAGGAAAAGAGAGAGGGTTGTATTTTCTGATGCTGCGTGAGTTCCCCGACGCACCGGGGACATATTTATGTATAAAAGACATCACAAAGTGCATTTTGCATGATAGATCCCCTTTAAAGCAACCCAACGGAAGTTTTTTTCCCCCCCCAAAATCGTGCAGCCCTAATATGTGAACACACACAAATGGAAAAAGGTCAATGTGCAGAGCTTCAAACAGGGATTCAGTTGGAGTTTAACATTTTTTTAGATACATGTTTTGTCAATGAGCCTGAAAGCATTTCGTTTTAAATTGACGTAGTTGGACAGAACAGGAGCTGCACTCTTTTTAGAGAACCACTTAGTATTTTTAGACGTAATAAATGTGTGTTAGAGGGAAGCCACTACCACCACAGCAAACTACTTGTGTTTCACTCTCGTACTCTCTGGCTACTGTTGAGGCACCACAGGATAGGAAAACAGGCAGTGGCATTACAGCATGTTCTAAATAAAAGTACCCCAACAAGCTTCCAGTTTCTATGGTGTGGTTTACTGTTTTCTGTTTCAGATGTAATACTAAACATTGGGGCGTCATAGATACATGATGAAGTATACAAATATTCCTGCGGAGCATTTTTTATTTGAAATGCCTTGTCCGCAAAAGGATATGCTGCATGCAGTTTAATTTAGATGTGTTTGCCTAGGGACACATTTAAAACCAATGAGATGCACCAGTACTGTTTCTGAACAGTGTTTTAACATACAGTAGGTGTTCAGCATTAACTAATGATAATGCTCCAATAACACTTATTCCAATCCCTTGCTCAGAAAAGGTTCGTTTTTTTAGATCATTAGGATCATTTCATAGTATTGTGTTACAAATGTTTGCCAAAAAAATCGCCAAATGTAACATATTCCACCCTTTTTTATATACAATTGCTTTGGGGGATTGGTTTAATATACATTGATGACATTTCAGAGAAATACAGTAAGAAAGTGCCAATGGTTA